TCTAGGAGTTTCTCAATCCATTTTGGCCACCTTCTCAGCCGAGAATCTATCAAATTGTACTGGAAGATTGATCTAGACCACCTAGCATGTAGTATATGCAATGCGAATGGTGAGCTTTCGGATTTGAATTTGAGGAGGAACTTCATGAAGGTGCTTCCTATACGATGTTTTTCAAATCTCCCTAGAAGTTCTATTGTCCAGTCAGAGCAAATGAGCCTACCAAGAGCTACAAATTCCAGGCCCACAGCTCCAAGGAGCAAGGTGTATGTAATCCGTACATCATATTCGTGAAAACCATGCTTGTTCAGGACATAGAAAAGTGCAAAAGCAGTAACGACGGAACCAATTGAGATAGCTCGGAAAAGGTACCCTGTTGGACTTTGAACCACGGCAGCCTTGGTATAAAGAACATCATAAAAGAAGTTGAGCTCAGCCTCAATGACCCGAAAAGCATCCTTTGCAGTTATCATCCTCCCGAAAAATTCGAAGCTTTCGTTCATTTGACTCAAGTGGAGGGGGAGTTCCACAAGGATGCCTTTGAAGGTTGTGAAGTGAAAAAATGCGGTTATTATCACTTCTCTGTCGTCCAAATCGGTTTTATTTTGCTCTCCAGCATCTCGGGATTCGATATTGGGCTCCTGCATCATCTCTATCGGAGCATGGCTATCCCGGTCAAAACCAACAGACGGAAGCAGGGAACCACGGAATTTACTGAAGCTGGCAAGATACAGAGCACGTGTTCGCTCTATATATTTTATGGTTCCTCCAATAAACACAAGGACGGTCGGGACAGTTAGCTTGTTGCTGGGGAGGTATTGGTAAAACACATAGCATGCAGTGCCTAGCTGGAATAAGAGATTAAGCAAGTGCCTCCGCCACAGCTCATTATCCTCGAGCGCGAAAGCGGTTATGGTGTCGGGTCCTCCGAGGTGTAGCAGCAGAAATGGAGCCCAAAATGCCAAAAGGTCACCCTATGGATTGGCCTCGGAGTCTGAAGTACCACCACCAACGACTTGGACTTTGGCAATGAGTCCAAAGGCATAGACAGCGACTGAGTCGGCAACCAAGTAAGCTGACCACATGGGAGTCGCGAACCACCTGTTTGACCACCTCTTTCGCATGGGTGCAAAAAAGATGAGAAAGACTTGCAGAGATAGGCTCGTAAGGATCGCCCCTCGGAGATTGAGTTTCATCCATAAATTCTTGGCCTCTGCAAGAATTTTCGTGTTTCCCATTAGATCCTCACTCTCTCCCCAGATCATGGAATAAAATCTTTTAGTCAGCATGAGTATTACCTCCTAGGAAGCACGGACACTCTCCATAGGCCTTCGTGTCGGTGTCGGACGCACGTCCACGCGCAACCGACACATGGTCAACATGTGTCAGACATCCAACACGTGGTCAATGCTCCAGACACGCTAGCGACACGCAAGTTTAGCATCCCGACACGCCCGGGTCAATTTTAAACATTTCCAATAAATTAGGGATCAAAATGTTAATTCATTATGGGCTCTTTTTTTAATTATTGATTTATTTGTGGATTTGAATCAAATTAATTAATTTGAAATAACCATAAGAGTCATAATTTATCATGTATTTATAAAAATATACATTTGATATACAACGAGTCACGACATGTCAGAATTCTTTAGTTTTTGATAAATGACGTGTCAACGTATCGTGTGTCAGTGTCGATGCTATTTAGAGTATAACAATAAGGCAACAATGATTGAATAGATATGCAAGCCAGAAAATATAATAACAGAAAAAGGTGACTATTAAGGGCAGAGTCGATAATACCTTGAAATTTATTTACGATCCGATAGGAATGGATGTCTTGCTTCACGCTACGAGTGTCGAGCAATGCGTAGTTATAAAGGAGTTAGAAGCAACAGGACTCAAGCTGATGTCAGTATGGAACAGGAGGAGTGGGCGAGAAACTCGTGGAATGTAAATTAAAGGCATGAAAACCATAGCGCATTGGCTATTGTCAGGGATGTATGTACGTTCTATTCTTTATCACACTTTGGCCTTTCTTCTTTTCTCTTTAACCTCTCTTCTCATTCAAGCATCGTCATCACACATTTCACATTTCTGGTGCTTCTTGCCTTCAAGCTTTAACGCTGTTTGATTCCAATTTTAGCTTTAGCCTCATTCACATTTCTCTCTTTTTCATTGTCTTGCAGGTTCTATTCTTTCCTGATCAATAAGAGCAAACGCCAACTCTGAACTACTCTTCAGACAAGGACAACATATTATCTTAAAGCATCACACGATGGATAGAGTTAGTACAGTCCAGAACATGATCCAACCTCAATGTAGTAGCTTCATTCCTTCGCGACAAATGTGCAAATTAATCGCATCAAAGCAAATCGAACACTAGCTCAGAACTTCAGACAGCAAGCAACCAGAATACCAAACCAAAGCACAAATTCGATGCAATGCAAATCCAGTCCCTAACCTTCTGCACTAAACCTAATCAACAACAAAGAGAAATTTGAAAAATCAGGATGAACACTGTGTGCGCGTGATGCCGAGCCTGGAATTGGAGGCGTAGAAGAACACCGTTGGAAAAATCTAAGATCCATTAGGCTAGGCCATTTATAGCTGATGTTTCAGCTATGGGCATTGTATGGGTCACTTATGTGAGCGTTACCTTGTCGAGAATAGTCCAGCACCGAGAGGATCTGTCACGGATAAACTAAATTCTTGCGTATAGTATCTATTGCTGCAAAGCCATCATTAGCATTTGGAAGCAGATTTCCTGCTTCTCTGCTGTTGGAATGTTGCCGGGCGTGATAGATCATCTGTTTCTTATATGGCCAAGACGAAGCTTTATCAATAATTCTATTGTTAACATGTTGCGGCCTTTGCTTGGTCTTTTCCATTCAGAGCCTGGAAATGGTTTGTGGAAGCGGAAGCTGATGCAGCTTTCCAGCACTGCACTGTACGTATGTACATTAGGCTATTCCTTTAGATGATATCAAACTTTTGTGTCCTTTATTCTGACCATTTGATTAATTCTAATGCAGTCTTGGTACCTTGTAGACGATGAAGTCCTTCTTTGAGGAGACGCACGATGGAATTTCCGACTCTGTGCTGGATGCACCTATTGCGGAGGTTCCGTCCGGTTCAGAAAACCCTTTCGCTAACATAAAAAGATGTGCTGCCTCCTCCATACAAGGAAAGAGAACAAGAGGCGTTATATGCATAATCATCATTCCTTTGTTTGTGCAACAGCTCCCTCAGATATCTTCTAATACCAAAGTCGATAGGAAAAAGAGAGAGATTAGTTAGATAGGTCATCTGTTGCCACTGTTTTGGAAGGTGGTCTGTCTTCACTGTCATCTGCTGTCCCATTTGTGATCAATTACTGTATAATCAGACAAGCGGTCATGGTTATCTTGTTTGTATCACCTGGTGTTTGCAATTTTCAAATTGGTTTTGTTGTTTCTGAAAGTAATGATGAGGTTCTTGAGACAATTAGTCCCATCTGCTCCCCACACTTGCCAAAAGGAGGTCAACGTAGCAGCTGTGATTATGTTTAGCCGTGGAGATATTATTCAGTAGAGGCTGTGTGAGGGCAACTGAATTCCCAAAAACCATACTCTCTTTTGGTTAGTTAGAGAGACAAAAGAAGTATCATCCTAAAGAAGTCATTGGCGACTTCAAACTTCATCACGCTATCAATCGAATAAGCCGATGGGCCTTAACCTAATGCGATCAGCCAACGAAGCCGGTCAATATCGTTCCCTTTCTTTTTTCACGCTATCACAGACGATGTAGGGCGTCCGAATAGAATCAAAAGATAAAAGATGGACCATAGGGAGAAGCTAAGAAGGATATCTATTGCCTTTCATTAGAGAAGTGGAAAGGCGGCCTACTTGTTTGTTTGATCCAATGCATAATTTTGATTTGAACCGGAAATAGTTACCATTGAAATTTCTAGACATGTGGAGGCAACTGGTGGATGAACATACATCCTCTAATCACCTTCACTTTTCAAATTGGGATGAGATCGACTATCGTTAGAAGTATAGCACGATTATGACATCACACATGAATTATTTACAAAATAGGAGTCACGCTTGCATTCCATAGATAGAAGAAATGAAGGAAAAACAGACTTACCAGGGAAAAACATGGCAAATCGGGTTCATTAGATAAGATGCATCTTGTGCAAAATCATTTATCTTCTTTCTGCAAGGAAAAGATCACACACTTTGCCCCTAGGAAAAAAAAATCTATAAATTCAGAAAAATAGATGTGTCCTTTTTAAAAAAAAAGAAAGATTCAATTTGACGAAAATAAGAAAAGTTCATACTTAAAATTGAAAAGCGGTAGCGATTTTGAGATAACTAAGCGTTGGAATATCATTCACAAGCAAACCCGCTTATCTCTACCATCTAACCTATTTTTGTTGTCCAAAGTTAATCGAGCAAATTAATTAGAAATTCCTTAAAAAAAATACTAGCGATTATTGTTAGGTCTAACGCCCATCGTAAAAATACCTTTTACACATTCACGGTCATACTTTCTTGTTGATTTAAGGGGCGATGTGAGCAATTTATTGGGTTTCATTAATGATGCAGGGATTATTTGAATGTATCCTGTCACTATTTCATGGATAAGATGAGCAAATGGAAATTGAAATTGTTATCTGTTGAATTGGTTTGAAAGGAGAAAAGGAACATTTTAAATTAACTTACTGGATTAACTATGGTAAAAAATAAAAAAGGAGGTTCATGGAAGATTTTCCCGAGGGGATATTACGACTCTTTTTTTCTTTTTTTTTTTGCTGAAGTGTCGGATTTTCATATTTCCATCTCAATTTTTTTAAAGTAAATTAATTTTTCAGCCCAAATAATATATATATATATAAGATCTTCCGATTTTCATATACGGGCCCCATTGAGAAATCTGAGATCGCTAGACGTCAATCGCACGCTCCCATCCTCCTCTGCCTCCGCCTCAGTCTCCGCCTTCGCCTCCTTCCGTCCAGATTTCCATTGAAGTCGCGACCGCCGCCGAGCGATTTCCATAGCTTCCCAGTTTGAAGAATCCATCAATCATGGGCTCGATCGTCGCCGGAGGAGAAGACACCGATTGGAGCGGCGTCGCGACGAGCTGGACCGTCTCAGCCGGCCGTCTCGCCGACTCGGTGACCGTCGAGTCGCCTCTTTCTCCGATCGATGACGGCGCGGTCGGCTCAGCTCCGAGAGCTCCTCTCCTCCTGCGACCTCCCTCGCCCGATCGCAGCCCCTGCGAGATCACTGGTAAGCCCTTTCCGGCTCACTCATCGCTTCCCGAGTGCTGGTGTGTGGGTTCTATCGTTTTCGCGTAGTGAATTAGTAATTAGTCACGACTACGAGGCGAGATGCAGTCGCTCGGTCGCGGTGTTTCTCCAAGTTTCATCTTTTATTGCGTTTGAATTATATTCTTTTGTCCTTGATTTGAAGCACACGAGTCAGACCATCGATTAGCGGCTTCAGTAGCTTTCGAACGATTCGTGTTAATGTGATGTAGTGGTGGTTTATGTGTCCTTTTCCCCTCAACCGCCCGATCATTACTTGCTTAAGCCTCGAAGAAGAATTGTTTCAGTGCCTTAGTTGCGGTTATGAGTGACAAAGAATTCGTTTGCTGCAGTTAGTTTCGCTCAGCCACACGATGTGCGCCAAGTTTATGTCCGAAGCACTGCTCGAGTTTACGAGATATACTACGCCCCCAAGCAGCGGGCGGGCAATGAGTATCTCTGTACGGTTCGATGCGGCATTGTCGTTAGGGACGAAGTTTCTGGCGGGGATGTTCCTCAAGCAGCTAATCTCGCTTCTTGTGGGGACTCTATGGATGAGTTTGCCGAAGAAAGATCCAAAAATGAGATTAATTTGAATGCTGGTGAAGACGATTGGGTTGAAGTGAAGGCGCCCGGTACTTCATTTGAAACTAATACAAATGTCGCTACATCTTTGAAGTCCTCTATCAAAATGGTAATAGACTCGCTCTCTTGCATATGTAGATGTAGCTTCCTTTCCTTTCCTTATTTTATCGTCTCGTATCCTATAGTTGATTCTGAGCTATGAGTGTGTCGTATTTGTCGAGACCTCAAGGTAATTCACGGTTGTTACATTGCACGGCAGGCAAGACATAGGTAGGACCTGAAGGTGCTTGGGGTGCTTATTAGATTGTAAATGGATCCAAATTTGGAAATAGGATGCAGCTTTAAATTTGAAAAAGGAAAGGAACATAAAACAATTGAAGGAATGCTGTCAGCATATCAAAGGAAGAGTTGGCTCGACTTGCCTAATTTAGATATCACTGTTGAAGACAATCACAAATTTATTTTTGTCCTTTGCTCTTCTTTTCTGATGCTGGTTAAATCCTGTTCAGGATTTTTATGAGGCAACAGCTGAGATTACCGATGCAGACCCCTGCACATCTCTCACGATTCGTCTGCTCTCAGTTCAAAGTGGAGATTGTGTATATATAGACGAAATCTATGTGTTTGCTGAACCTGTTGAATCTAACTTTGAAGATGAGGACAGGCAATTGGGAACTACAGCTGGAACTTCGCTTATGGCTATGCTTGTGCCTAGCCTCCTGCAGTTATCTAAAACGAGAATGGCTGGCCAAGTACAGGATAAGGATGCTCTTGATGTGAGGGATATCCAGAAGTGCCCACCTGCTGGTTCAGAGACAACAGAACCCAATCTGAGTTTGAAAGTAAGTGTAACGGCCGATGTTGCAAATAGAGATGGACATGCTACTGGCATTTTTGATACTCAGCATATGGATAGGGTTATTTCTGAACCAGCTCAGGAAACTGTACGAGAAACAGATACTAATAGGCAGCAGGATGATTCTTTCAGTCGTTTTGAAAATGTCCTAGAACAGCTTGTTTCTCGAGTTAGCAGAATAGAAAGTCTCTTCTTGAGATTTGAAGAAAATATGATTAAGCCAATTAGCAGCATCGAAGCGAGGCTGCAACGGGTAGAGGAGCAACTTGAAGTGATTAACCACAAAGTGGTGAGTTCAGGACTGCAAACTTGCAAGAGATTTTCGGCCCCAGAATGTTCCTTTAGTGAGTCAAATATCCCTTCCTTGTATGAAAGTAATCGTGGAGAATCTCATTCTGACAGGGATTCTTCAGATATGTTATCTGTTCCACCTGATGAAACCTGTGACACTGTGAGTACCTCCCAATTGCTTCCAAGTCTTACCATTTCGGCTCCAGACTTTCCACAGGGAGAGGATGACGAGGAAAGCCATTTGTTACAGCAAGTTGCTGACTCTCCAAAGGAAAAACCTAGACCTGCATTGTCAATAGATGATGCCTTAGCATCTGCCCTTGCTGGGTTTGCGTCTTCTATCACGATTTGCCCTCCAAATTATAGACAGTCACTGGCTGTCAAGGCTCCCGAGTTCTCAAATGAAGATGAGGAAAATTTTGATGAGAGAACTTCACCTGAAATACCATATGATGGAGCACAAAATTCTGTCTGCTTGACTGATGGGATGGAGTGTGCGATGGATTCAATTTCTTCTGAGTTACCTTCCGGTGATGATGAGAGCAATACTGATAGAACTATTACTAGAAATGATGGTTGCTCTGAGAAAATTGGTGAGGAAAGCGATTATCAGCTGCCTTGTGATAAAGAAAAAGGTTATGTACATGTTACAGGTGATGAACATGAGAGAGAGGAGATAAATGAACCCGAAGAAGCCAGCAGCAAAGGGAGATGTGTCCTAGCTGGTAAAGATACTCAGGTTAAAGATGAGATGCCTCAGGTACAGATTGATGGTAGTCCTCATCATGTGAAGGAAGTGGATTCTGTTGATTGCACCAGGGCTTTTGAAGTTGCAAATGGAAAGTCTGAGGGGGGCATTCTGCATGACATTCTCACATCTTCACAGGCTGCTTGTGCGTTGGACTTCAAGGCCCCAATTTTGGATGTGAAATTCATACCTCAAGATAAATCTGATTCACAGTATCTCCTTAAAGCTCTATGGGATGAAATGCCAGAATCAAATGTTAGCCTTCCCTGTGATGACAAGAGCTGTGATTCATATGGCGAGCAAGATGACTTGATTGTAGTGGACAATGCAGAGTCGCTGGGCGAGGCAACAAGCTGTTGTTTCACGGTTGATTTTGACTATTGCCATTTGCTAGAGACGCCTGTCAACAAGGATGCTGAGAAACCGCAGGATAATTTGGCAAGCAGCCATGATGTGCTAGCGGGTGACAGCCTTATTTGAGAATAACGGTGCTTTTATCAGGTTAATGTTGATATATTTATGTACATACATGCCTTCCAGGATACGTATCTCGCTGTACCTAACTTACCCATCTTCTCATTAGGTTTTTCTTGGTAAACTGTAACTTTCAATTGCTAATTCTCTAGATATGTTTTTACAGTAGCTTCGACTGCATTTAGCTATTATGTTTCAACTACATGGAAAGGCTCTTGTTCGTCAGCTCTGCTGTTTATGCAAATTAGCTTCGGGTGGTGGGAGGAAAATTTTTTGAGGTACATGTCATAGGATAATCCTACAGATTAGTTGGGGATGTAGAGGAGGTCTTATTACAAGACCCTAAAATCACGTGGAACAAGACCAGGAAATTTTGTGGAATCGACTGGGTTGAATAGCTCCGGTTGACCCATGTGAGGACTTCTTGAGGGTTGATTCTTACTCAGATGGCAGAGAGATCATATGAGAATTTAAGCTGTTTAAGACCAATTAGGCAAAGCCTGAATTGGAATCCTCGACAGAATTCCTAACAAGTGAGGATCATAACAACCTAACCTGGCTATTAACTGGGGATGACCCCAGCAAATTCATGTTCAAATAGATGGGTGCTCCGCCGTGGAAGCTCGACAATATTCTCAAAAGAATGGATTATAGATATATGTACGTGGTTAGTATATATCAACTGTTTACAAGCAGCTTTAACAAAGTGCCTTGTGCAATGTCTACCTTTCGAATTCGACGAGCTCATTATTGGAGAAAACACGGCCATACGGGGGTGTTAAGTCATGTCTGAAGATGTCCTGTACCTTAGAAAATGACAATTTTTCTCCAAAAGGCCGTGTGTTCTGATGGGAATGAACCTTGAAATTCAAAACCATGCCTCAACTGAGAAACCTACGGGAAACCCTGCTGGTGCTGTTAATGTGTCACTGTCTGGGAGTAATTGGCTTTTGTTGGTGACATCCTCAATATAACTGCACCTCTGGATATAGAATCGATTCGTGCTCTAATTATGTGGGAAGAGCTCTTCTTTCTTCGGGGTAAGTATCCTACTCTATCCACTTCTCATCCCCACTTCACCTAAAGAGCTTTCATAATTTAGAGGTAATTCCGAAAAAAAAAAAAGTTGCATGAAAAACGTTTTTATTTAATGAATAGCTCGAGGTTACTCTGCCATTCTAATTGATAAAACACACATTTACAAGGCCAAATTATGTAAAGGCTGACAGATGATAGCAGTCCCTTCCCTTTGTCCTTTAGGCACAGTGAGGGGAGACTATTCCAGTTTGGGTAAGTTTAACATTTGAGCAAGAAGCTTCAGAGCTCGCAACTGAAGATTCGCTTCTGAGGTTGATGTCTTGCAAGAAAATCCCTTGACATGGATGGTTCCTGCTGCAGTCGAATTTTATGGCCTCTTCTGAAGAGCTGGTTCCTCTGATATTCCTGTAAGCCACGTTCGTAACTTGAACGGCTGCGGCCTACCATGCCACCGGATAGTGATCGATCAAGCGATCAGTCAATCATGGTAATGAGTAGCTGATCATGATCAGTCAAGTAAGCTAGAAGAAGATAGGTGCACAGATGTTCTATTACCTGCTGTCCACACGACTTCTTTTTATCACAATAGTTCTGGTCTATGATTATGGGATTGGCCACGTTGTCCATTGCAATGTTCTCAAATCTGATGTTTTTCGCATACCCTGATCCTCCCTGGATGGAGATATGGGTCAAGATCGAGATTATGCCGCTCATAAACTTTCTAAACCCTTTGAAGTCGGGATGAATATGCTAAAGTCATCCATGCAACTAACGAAGTTGTTATAGTTGTTCTAAGCGCAAGTCAAAGAGTTTGGTTAACAAATACTTGTTAGCCCACACCAAGTCAAAAAGCAATTCCGTTATGCCAAATTTACCTCGAATCAAAAACAAATTATCCCTTCCTTGTCTCCCCTTTTACGGTTTTGCAAAGCAGGATAATTGAAATAGATACTCGAAGTACCATCTAATAATTTAAACCCTATAGCTAGTGGAAGCACGCAAGGAAAAAAGTGCACGATCAAGCATGTCAATAGCCTGGCCAAAAAAAATACAAATGATGATCCATTGCCCTGATCTCACCTGCCAAGTCTTTATTCTCACACCGTTTGTGGTTCCTGAAAGTCTTGCTCTATTTATTAGGACATCTGAAACATAGTCAGCTGAATGATCGGCTCCCAAGCTTCCAATGCTGTATATAAATAGATAAGATATGAACTTTGAGTACATCATAGTAGGACGAGCAGTTAAGAGGTGTAGAATATATATATTTCTTTAAAGTAGGAGATATATATTTCGTTTATGTTAGTTAGAAGGACGGTAATAGGAAACCTGATTCCATGGCCTGGTCCACAGGTTATATCCGTAGCTTGAACATCTGTCGACCCACTTACTATAGAAATGCAATCATCCCCTGAAACAAGAACATTAGGACTAAAATTATCAGCTAAGGTTTAGTTTAACTGGAAACGATGATTTGTGGAAGTGAGGATATTGTTCACATTTTGTTGGTAGAGAAATATTGGAGCCAGAGCCGGAATATGGGCATGCCAAACTGGTGTCCGTTTGTTATACCTGTCCCAATGACACACTGTCCAATGAGGATATTTTGAGTTTCCGTGACATGAATTCCATCAGTATTTGGGCTTTCCTCCGGAGCAGTTATCTGGAGGTTCACTGCTCTTACATTCACACACTTCTTGAATACAAGATGCATTTGTTGTGCATTTTTAATGGATAAATCAGCTACCCCCAGATTGTTGCATTCTTGGAATGTCAACGCCTGCAAAGATAATTCTTCTTAGGAAATCCAGACGACATGAAACTTCTTCTCCATTTGAATTTAGATTGAGAGATGTCTTTGATCATGCGCAGATTGAAGAACTTACTGTTGGTGCATCCTTGCAAGGCTGCATCATAACATTCCAGGAAGAAGAGAGGAATTGCTAGCGTTAGTGCATACTGAAATCTAGGTCAATTAACAAATGTAGTGAAAAGGACGCCAGCGACAATGACTCACAAATTTTGGGTTTCTTTTGCAGGATTTTTGCCACCAAGTTTCTCCATTGCCGTTTATGTAGCCACCGCCTTCTACTCTCAAGTTTTCCAAGTTTTCAAACTTCAGCCATTCTGTTGGATCTTTTTCGTAGTCTGATTGGTCAGAAGAAGCCTCGATTGTTCCATAAATCTGAAACATGTATATAGATATGAAGAAGAAAGGTGTTCACACAAGACGAGAGAAATAAGCGTATCCATTGGATGTATATTCATCAATTGATACCATAACAACTGAAAGACATTGAGTTCTTTACATTTTCTCGTGAATTCAACTCCCTGATTTTTTTGTGATTCGTTAGTCTATACCAGCATAAATGGCACATTGAGATGTGCACATCGCATAAAGCTTACCTTTACTGTGAGGTCAGATTTGCAAGGACCTGAAAATGTGATGGGCTTAAGACGATAGGTTTTGCTCTGAGGGACTACTAGAACAGCTCTCTGAGCAGAACAAGCAGCCTTCCAGGCTTCCCCGAATGCCTATATGCATAACCAAAGCACTTGACTGTTACTTCCCCGCGAAGAGTTTCAGCATAAATCATACAGATAGAAGAACCGGAAGAGGAAAAAACAATATATTTAGTCAACAAAACTATATTAAGATGAGGGGGACATTTGTGCATTTATATACCTCAGTATCGTCACTTCCATCTCCTTTAGCACCATAGTCATTTACGTTCACCATCTTAAGTGAAGTTGATGAAGAGGCAGCTCGACTCCGTTTTAGCATGAGCTGCCTCCATAAGTCAGAGTCATAATAGGAAATTCGATCCCCGCGGATGGTCCTAGTCGAGGAGAGGCGGGCCATTGGGTCGTATTCACGGTAAGGATTATCGGTATCGAGCAGGTCATTTCTGTGGCTGCTGAAGCAGAACGATGAGGAGGTGATTAAGATGATGGAGATGCAAAACTGGAGCTTCTGCAAGTACATTTTGCTTCTGAGTTAGAAGAGTCTAAGGCAAGGCTAGAGAAAGTCTCCAGTCTGTAGATAATGGTATGGATTATGAAACGAATGGGTTTGTGCAAGTAAGAACAAAGTCATGCAACATATATATAGAGAGAAATGGAGTTGATGTGCTTGTCAGGAGAGAGAGAGAGAGAGAGAGAGAGAGAGAGAGAGAGAGAGAGAGAGAGAGAGAGAGAAGAAGCAATAGGGGAGATATAATTGGAGAATGTAGTTATCAAGCTAACGAGACAGATGAGGTATGGACTAGAAGAGTGACTCCGAAGAAACAAGAAGGAAAAATGAGCAGGTGGAGCTGACTTTAGGAGTTCCAGCAGTTGAAGAAAATATAAGCAGTTTTGGTTAGTTACATTTGCTGGTTTACCAAGATGCACAAATTTCATGGTTCTGACGTATTATGTAGGCCCTCCCAGTCATTCCATGTACACAACGGGATATGTCCCGAATCCACCACTAAGTGTGCACAACATGGAATATGAGAATAGAGTCACCTAAAAACTTCTGTGGGTATAGCTTCTTGCTTCACAAAAGTACATGGGATTCAAATTTAGTATGCTGCAGTTCTAGGTTTGAACTGGATGCATCGGTTCATGCTCACTACATACACATATATATTTAGTTTAGGTACATATCAATTTTCCGTTTTGTCCAAGGAAGTACGAAACTTACTTCTGGGGCAGTGTGTTAGGTATCATTTGGTAAACATTTTTCATTTCCTGGGATTATAATATAGTAATGGGCATTCGGTACATAACCACCTATAATCTGCGGCCGTGGAAATTGAGCTGTTGACATATGGCGTTCAATATGGTTTGACGTTTTTGGGTTAATCAAGCTGAAATCTAGGCGGATGCCAAGTTAAACACCACGTTTTTGTCTTAGTTCCGATGTCTTTTGACCCAGCATTTTGCAGTGATTCTAGTCCGCCATGACTATGAGCCCAAAGTTGAAACACACAAAGCATGGGCCAATCAACGTCGGTTCTTGGGAGTTAATGCACCGAAGTCTTTGAATCACATAAGTCTCAAGTGGGACGCATCGAAATTTAAGGTAGCGATGCATTATTCTCGCTTGAATTCATAATTTTTCCTTCTTCTCTGCTGACAGTTCT